AAGTGGGATTGGCTTCTTTTTTATTATTTGAAATAAAGAAAACCTCAAATTCTGCATTTATCAAATAATTAAAACCACAAATCAAGTTTTGAAAGAGTAAAGAATTAATTAATATTATTCTTTAATGAAAGATTACAGAACTTGGAATTATTAGTCTGAAACCAACTCAGATAACAATCTTCATGAAACTTTGTAGAATGGACGGCAACTGCCGGTTGTAGAGACACAAGTGTAGAGGATGACGTTTCGAAAGTCTTCTGCCTTTCGTCTTCAAGTCAACGTGTGAAAGGTGTTGTCGGTCTTTATAGTATTCTGGTGGATTGTGGAGCGCGTATTATGATTGGTTGGTTTATCCCTGTTTCTGATTGGAGGAGAGATTTCCTGTAGATTCAACCAATGGTAGCCACAGGTTACTCAGCTCAAATCCGGAATCTCTGTTTAGTGAAGGTTTAATTGTGTTCACATAAAATGATTCTTGAATTTTTCTCGTCTTCCAAAATTTGTCTGTGTCAATGATTCTAGTTTTTTCCCAGTTTATTTTGTGTCCAGTTGACATGGCGTGTTCTTGAGCAGCTGAATTTTGTGTTTTTATGAGTCTTGTACTGTCTTTATGTTCTTTTATTCTTGTCACGAGTCTTCTTTACATTTCTCCAATGTATGTTTCATTGTAGGAACATAGAATTTCATAAATGACGTTTTTGTGTTTCTCATTGGTAGGTTGCTGTAAAAAACAAACAGCAACCAACCAATGAGAAACAAAAACCAATCACAACATGCTCTCCACAATCCACCAGAATACTATAAAGACCAACAACACCTTACACACACTGACCTGAAGACGAAAGGCAGAAGACTTTCAAAACTTCATCCTCTACAACAGGCAGTTGTCGTCCATTCTACAAAGTTTCATCATGAATACTCTGCCTAAACAATCTATCAAAAAACAACTTTCATCTTTCCAGAAAACAATAACCTTCAAAATAACAGAGTAATATACTTTAGATTTGGTATTGTAACAGTTACCTTCATCATCTATAAATAGTTAAGGTTTCACATATTTTTCTATTCTGTCATGGTTACTCGATATATGAATTATTAATGTTTCCCATGCACCATTTCTCTTACAGGAATCTGATTTATACTAAACATATAATGAAACAACTTCTCATAGTTTTTCTGTTACAAAAATGTCTTCCAGCTTTTCAGAACAGCAGATGTACGACTAGTCTACTATACGGGTGGATGGATGTCTCTGTTCAGCCTATAAGAAACCATCATATCTGATTCAGCTTTAAATCAACACCTACACTTCACTAAGTTGTAGTTCAAATTATTACTGTTTCTAACTGATAACTGTTATTATGTTTGGATTACTAGCTGCTTCTAACTGTTTGGACTACTAGCTATTTCTAACTGATAACTGTTATTAATTTTGACTACTAACTGTTTCTAATTGGTAAATGTTATTATATTTTGACTACTAGCTGTTTCTAACTAATAACTGTTATTATGTTTTGACTACTAGCTGTTTCTAGCTGATAACTATTATTATGTTTGGACTACTAACTGTTTCTAACTGGTAACTATTATTATGTTTGGACTGCTAGCTGTTTCTAACTGATAACTGTTATTATGTTTGGACTACTAGCTGTTTCTAACTGATAACTGTTATTATGTTTTGGACTACTAACTGTTTCTAAGTGATAATCGTTATTATTGAAAATCAAACTTTTAAGTTATTTTTTAACTACAAACTGTTAAAATAAAATACAGAAACTGTTTGTAATAATGCTGCCCTGTACAATCTTCAGAGAAAGGTGTATAAAAATGCTTCTTTATTTTACTTCATTTTCAACTAATTTATGCTGATTAGACCATTAGTTATAAAAAATGTCACCTAACATCTTTGGGTTACGAATCTGTTTGTTTTGGACATTCTTGCAAAGCTATGAAAAGCCTATCTTTTCTAGCCATCCCTAATTTTGAACAATTAGACAAGAGAGAAGACAGCTAGTCAACAGCATCCACCACTCATTCTTGGATTACTCCAATTGAATAGTGAGATATGACTGTCACTCTTATAATACACCCACAGCCATAAAGTGAAGAATGCAACTTTTGCTCCAGTGTAATGGGAACCCTAATCCCTGAAATCCACAGTCCAATACACTAACCACTGTGTCAGGCTGAGCTCATAAAAAACCTAATAAACAGAAATTTCCTTTAAATCATCACACTACGTTTAAGGTTGTAAACAAACTTGATGAACACAATCAGGTTATGCATGTCATTAAGATTGGAGTTTGTAGAAATAAAATGGCTAATTTTAGATAAAACTGGCATATTGTTTCAAAGCATGATACCTGATGTTGTTGTTATTCCTGGATTTGGATTGTCTTAAGATTCTTCTTCATCAAGGTCTTGATTTAATGATGGATTCAGAGACTTTTCTATAAATGTGCATCAGAAGAAAAATGTATTTCACTTATTCAAATTTTGAAGTATAAAAATAGTTATATAATATTGCAGAAGACAATTTAACCATCACAAGTTGATTTGTGATAACAATCTGCCAATATTATTCCATATATGCTATTTGTATAAAATGTAACACTTTGTTGTAAAAAAAAAAGGTTGTTTAAATTGAAGTTCTTCAAGAAACTGTAAACCATTTAAGTTATAACACTAATAAACAGATATACATCCACTAGTTCTATTATATCACAATAACATTAATAAACAGATATACATCCACTAGTTCTATTATATCACAATAACATTAATAAACAGATATACATCCACTAGTTCTATTATATCACAATAACATTAATAAACAG